GTCCAATACTTGGTAGAAGGAATGAAGCTACCCTACAAAAATTACCGCGTGTAAATCGGTCAAGTGGTTGCTGAGATATAAGCGTCGTAGAATCGTGACCACGGCCGGCCGGCCGCTCATACTCAGAAATTTCCGTTAATCTAAGTAAAGACTACGCTCGCTTCGCTCGCTCCGTAATTAGACTCGCCGTGGTCTGAAACAGTGCCGTTTTTGATGATTTTTTATTGGTCCACCCTAAGTGATCCAAATCTGTCCAAAACCCCTAAAATCTGTTGCAGACGAGCCCATGCTCCGAAACTATAGAACCGATTTCGATGAAACCTTCACCATTAGACGCGCCGTGGTCTGAAACGGTGACGTTTTTGATAATTTTTTGATTGGTCCACCGTAAGTGGTCCAAATCGGTCCAAAACCGCTAAAATCTGTTGCAGACGAGCCCATGCTCCGAAACTACTGGACCGATTTCGATAAAACCTTAACCATTAAACGCGCCGTGGTCTGAAACGGTGCCGTGTATGACAATGTTTTGATTGGTCCACCCTAAGTGGTCCAAAGCGGTCCAAAACCGCTAAAATCTGTTGCAGACGAGCCCATGTTCCGAAACTACTGGACCGATTTTGATGAAACCTTCACCATTCGACGCGCCGTGGTGTAAAACGGTGCCGTTTTCGATAATTTTTATTGGTTCACCTTAAGTGGTCCAAATCGGTCCAAAGCCCCTAAAAACTGTTGCAGACGAGCCCCTGCTCCGAAACTCCTGGACCGATTTGGATGAAACCTTCACCATTCGACGCGCTGTGGTCTGTAACGGTGCCGCTTTTGGATAATTTTTTGATTGGTCCACCCTAAGTGGTCCAAATCGGTTTAAGTACAGCCCAAAAATACGTTTTCACGTAGTCAACCGATGAGCTGGTTTCCGCAGCGCGGAGGTGCCCTAGGCCCAATTAGCATTCATTTTTGCTCTAGTTTGGAAAGCAAAATGCATGACAATGGGTTTTGGGCACCTCTGTGCTGCAGAAATCTATCCGGACTCTGACAATACTAACGGGTTTTAGGCATTTTAGACCGATTTGGACCACTTAGGGTGAACCAATAAAAAAAAATTATCGAAAACGGCACCGTTTACACCACGGCGCGATTACGATACGATTTGCAGCTCCCTGGCGTGATAGCTGGCAGTAGGGCTCCGGAGTCGGAGTCATGAAGTCGGTCGGAGTTGACAGTTCTGACCTGAGTCGTCGAGTCGGAGTCAGAGTCGATTTTGAAAGCTGGAGTGAGTCGGTCACCGAAATTCTATCCCTCCGCAGACCTACCAGGGCTCTGTAGTCAGAGTTGTAGTCGGTCGGAGTCGACAGCTCTGACCAGAGTCAGAGTCAGTCGATTTTGAAAGCCAGAGTCGGGGTCGGAGTCACCAAAAATCCATTGCCTCTGCAGACCTGACAGGGCTGTAGAGTAGGAGTCAGTCAGATCCGACATTTGAAATCGAAGTCAGAGTTGATTTTTGAAAGTCTGAGTCAGAGTCGGACTCATCCAGAAACCCATAGACGATCCGCAGTAGGTTGTTTTTCAATAGAAAAACACAATTCTAACGAATAGTGTTTGTCTTTTCAAACAACCTGCGGTTACCATGCAGTAAGGGTGTTGCCTCGATGCCCTGAATTACCTATGCATTGAATGAATATATGGCAATTCATTGGGATATCTATTATTCATCCCCTGCCACTAGGACTTACTTTCAGTAGAAAAAGACGCATGATTTGTTTTAGTTTTTATATTTATTGACAGTTGATACATATTTTTTAGCAGCTAAGGATACAGATACAAAACACAGTGATAGCGCCTCGCTGGCGCAAATCATTGCTAGATAATGTTGAAATGTGTTGCCATTGAAGAATCTGCTGATTTTACTGGCGGCTGTCGTTTTCAAGTAACTAGTGGTATTCTAAGATCTCTTGATTGCTCGCCGTCTGGCGTCTTTCAAGGTTTTGTGAAAGCTATTAAAACGTTACCACGGCTGCTCTTGATTGCTTGGCGTTTGCTGATTCTGGGTTCTTAATTGGTGGTTCTTGCTTCTGATCCTCTGTTGCTTCATGTTCCATTATATCACATTAAATTTCTAATGGAACAGACATTTCTACCTTTTATTTCACTATCAGTCGACTTGCATGCAGCCCTGTGGCCTGTAAGCCCTTTTATTTCCACGATAGAATTCGCCCATAATTGAAAAAGCTTCGGTTCATGAAGCAAGAAAAGTATATCAGGTTAAATAATTGAGACGGTCCTAGAAAACCAGAAAAAAAATAAAAAAGCCTGCCTATCTTACTTCCCTCACTTCATAGCAAAAACCAAGCATCAAAACATGCGAAAGCGTCCTTAGCAACGCCCCAACAACTTATTTGTCTGAAGTGCGCAATATGTGTCACATCTGGAAAATTTCGTAGCTACTTGATTATTCAACTAGAGTTGGTCTACATAAGCTAGGCTTTTATCTAAAAAATAAGTGTTTGCTTATTGAAATTATAGAAACTGGTTGTTTAACTTCGATATATTTAACTACAAAAAAACCTGTTTGCGACATATTTCATGGTGTGTCAGAAGAAGAAATGGCCGCATGGCTTAATCCCTCGCATGTGTGCGGCGTTTGCCAGCTTCTAATGTGTAGGGGGGGGGTCGGTTGGACCCCCCTTGCCGTTTTGCCCCTGATCGAGCTAGAGCTTCGCGGAAAAAAACGAGCGTGTTGCCCGTGACGAGAGGAAGCCAATCATACCCAATTTTAAGGTTCTAGGTCATTGGTTGACCTTCCAGGTCAGGTCAATGACCCAAAGTCGGGGAAATCTGGACCTGTTAGAAAGTCGTAAAGTGTGGCTGCTAAGGGGTTTTGGGGTGCTGATCACGAATATCGTGTTAGTTTTGATCACAGATGATGTCTTTAAGCATTTAGACCAGGTCGGGTCAGGTCAGGTCAGGTCAACCAGTAGGCGTCGTGAGTGACGGGTATTCCTAGTACGTGTCAGCCGCCTCTGACAGCTTCGTAACATATTACGAAGTCACCAAAACTACTTCGTAAATGTTCAAATGGCTGCTAGATTCAGCTCCAAAAACTAGTCTAGAAACATGTAAAACTCGAAGAAGTGAACCGAGGTCACCAAAGGTCAATAACCTGACCTGACCTTCAGGTGACCTTGACATCCATCCTAATGCATGGGAGAAACATCAAATCACATGTTTGAACGTTTGAAACCACGAAAAGCTTGCAAACGTGCGGCTAATGTGAGCCGACACACGCGGAATCGCGATTCCGGCCAAACATGGTCTCGGAAAAGAGGTCACAGGTCAAAGGTCATTTGGGTCAGGGTCATGAAATTTTCAGGGTAGGTGTAAAATTGATCAATGCGAGGGTACTGAAAGTTTTGTCGCGATCGGCCGCTTTTTACGCGAGTTATTCGCGAAAAACCAGGGGGGGGGGGTCCATCCGACCCCCTACACATGCGAGGGTTAGTTCTCCAGCCTTGTCAATAGATGGCAGTACCGCAATATGGGCGACGGATCGTGCCACTGACGTCAAATTTTCGGTACCTGCTAAGAATTGAATTGCGGATCTTGTCATGCAAAAATCAAGTAAATCGTTCCACAACTTTTCTAAAAACAGGGGTATAAGGTCAACCACCCTGCCAGAGCGGCGGCGCGCCGCCTGAGACTGCCGACGCGAGACGGCGCCGACTGCATTGCACTAAAACCTGTCAAGTGTCAACTGCTTGGAATAGTTACTATAGCAAAATGTTCATTCAAGTGAGGAATAATCCAAACTCCAAAGGCAGGAAGCATGTATGTTTGAATGCATACTGTGCAAGCCCAGAAGCTGCATTAGCAGATACTCGCTAACATTAGATCCAGCCAAGTCCAAACGCATTCCACGGGATGTGCTTCTGATGTGTCAACAATATGCATCGTTCGAGGGCGGATACAGTTGTAACAATACAACAAATATTTTTGCACAGTTAAATTCCTTGAATAATTTTCTTCAACGCCTTATTCCTAGTTAAGCGAATTAGTCCACCCTGGTTGAATAAATAAGACGATTTCGCCAAAAGGTCGCGGAAAACCGACCGAAAACGGCCGCGCTCAACGTTAATTTGGGCATGTAGACTCTTAAAAACTCGCATTGGGCGGATAGGGTTTCCCAATTGGCTCCAAAACAACGTATTCGGCTCCCTACGTCCAAATGTTGCGCTTCGCTCCTAGTTAAGCTCTGATTAGATCAAGTTACTCATAAGGAGCAAAAAGCGACAAAAAGTATGAATTTCCCTATGGCGGCGGGCTGCCGGGTTGCCAGACGGCGCACCGGCTATTTCCACTTTTGACACACCATGGTAAAGAAACAAGGGAAATAGCTTGGACTCGTGCGCTATTCTCAGAGGTGGAGATCTCGGGGGGGGGGGGGGGGTCGGGGTGGGGGGTCAGGACCCCCCTGAAAACGAATTACTGCTATGTAAGTCAATGGTACTGCATCCAGCCCGCCGATCCATCTACCCGGCCTGGACCCCCCCCCCCCCCCCTGACATTTTGACAGAGCTCCACCCCTGGCTATTCTAGTACATTTTGGGTAGAAAACTTCGTCCAACCTTATGTTTTAGGGCCCGAACGTTCCTGCCATAGCCCGTCAGACAGCCGAGAGCGCCTGGTCTGCGCGTCGATAAGGGTCATTTCACGCTTTGGTGTGGCTTACTATGATCCATTGTGACACTGAGTTGTGTAATTGCGCCTTGTTGCCGGCTGTGAGAGACGCATATTTTTTACAAGTTCGCAATTTTTGAAAAAGGTCATCGAACGATTTCGATAAAAAATACATTTTTTGAATCAGCTCACCGTCAGCCTTCGAATGGTGCATTTAGTTTCTTTTGTGGATGAAATGACCAAGGCCCTACAGAAATGACTTTCCGGCGAACTGTGTATGACCGTGGGTGCTAAGCCAGTGGTGTGGTGGTGTGGCCGTGTTCCAGTCTGCGGGCCTGTTCCACCACGGCACCCGGCTGACTGCCCGCTGCCAGGAGGTGGGCATGTTCCGGCAGCTGGGCGGCTCCTCGCTGCTCTGCGTGGACGGCCGCTGGAACCCGCCGCAGCCGCCCGTCTGCCAGCCCACCACCGTGCTCACCAACTTCTCACGTGAGGGCCAGCATACCTTTGAGAAACGGGTAGATCGGACGTTTTGAGCAGACATGTGCTTGGATCCGGAAAAATGGATCTGAGATCCGATCCCATGGATCCCGATCCGAGATCCATTCAGATCATAGATCCAACCCCTCAATTTTGTCGAGAGATCTACTGGGATCATAGATCTGACCCTTCAATTTTTTCGCTAGATCCACTCGGATCATAGATCTGGCTCCCCAATTTTGTGGTGAGATCCATTGGGATCATAGCTCATAGGTGCTCAAAATGTTAACAACTTTCTTTCATAAGAAGTTATGAATACCAAAGTATGGTTAGAAACAATCTTATACAAAGGCCATATTAGTAAAGGCATCCAGTTACATTATACAGAATACAAAATAAAGGAGGCTCATGACGGTCACAACTTGAGAGAATTGAGTGACATGAAGATTGTTCACAGTTCACATACCAACAGAAAAGTTTGCATTAACAATTAGCATAGAGGTAAGTCAAAGTAATGACTAATGAACAATACATAACTAGGTACCTACCACATCACAATTCATGTTAGAATCTACATAATGATATTGATAAGACAATCTTGCATTAGACAACCATGAGGCTTTCCAGTTTCCAGCTACCACAATTGATTGATAAACAATAAAAGATGATACTGACACATGTGGCTTGGTTAGGTAAAGGTATTTCAATCTATTGAAAGAAATATTTGATAAAATAAACTGAGATATAAACAAAAGTATAAAAATATTCAACAGCCTGCGGAGTGCGGAAGCTATGGGAAGCGAAATATCAATTGTAATGGCCTTGGATATTTACCGTAAAATGATTATTCAGTATCTAAATAGAACTCGTGACGTCATTTCAAATAACAAATGAGCTAGGCGTTCTACCTTCGAGTATAATGAAAATGAATAAAAAATCAAACTGGAAATTCAAAAGTCTTGAGTTTTTTTTTTTAAAGAATGATCATTTTACCTGCCTCACATAATTTTACGATACGATTTTGTGAATATCATCTTTGTAGCGTTGAATTTAATGACGTAAACGTAAGCTGAAATGGTTTTAGATGGCCCTGAGCGGTGTGCGCCTTGCATCTTTATTTTATTCACTTTTCAAAAGAATCACAATATCTTACGTCATTAGTTTAAAGGGCCTATTACGGGGAATCTTTTGGAATCATTACCGTTTGGTCAAATTAAGATTTTTCATTGGTCAAACGCAGGGGCGCCGCCACGGATTTTTGACTGGGGGGGACGGACTGACCGACTGAAAACCCAAAAGTAGGCATTCTTACCGTGGCTTTTTCGGTCCGATGCATTCAAAGTTTAAAGCAAATATGCTACTTTTTACATTGGGTTTAGCTGCTCAACGATCACCATCACCCTAGCCAAAGATATCGGTATCGATCTTAGGTTTGAACACTGAAGTCATTCCCATAATTACACTTTGTCATTCCCTTACCGAGGAATCCATTCCCTTACGGAAAAATGCCAGCCAATCGGCATTCAGCTGGTTTGAACTACGTAATCTGATTGGTCAACGCGTAATCAGCTTCCGCTGCAATATGGTAAGGCCTCTGCGAAAGATGGAAATTGGTTCTGATGTAAAAATAAAAAATCATTTTGCAAATATTAATTATGTTATTTCCTGACCATTTTCAGCATAAAAACTCATAAACCTGTGGCAAAACAACTGGTTTGAAGGAAGTAGTTTAGGTATTTCCTTTAAGTAATGGCTGTAGACCGAATTCCCACAGAGTACCTACCTATATACACATCTGATGTCCGATTCAGTTTTGACATGGCAAAGCCTCTAGTGCTTCATCATCAGGGTATAATTGCTGATGTATGCCACTAATCTGATCGGTAATGCATATTGCATAGGTAATGCATATTGCATACCCTCGTGGGGGAGGAGGCGTTGTATACCTAGTTACAATCTCTCTGTCTGGGTAGTGTATGAATCGGCGCGAAGCGCCGCGAAAATTGGCAAAAAAACATCAGGCAAAACTGCTCTAAAATACGAATTTTGCAGCCCGTTTAACAAGCTTGATACCAGAAAACCTTAGGTCAGGTCACCAAGTCAAGTAGTCAAGTCGCCTCAAAGTTTTGTGGTCCTGTCAACGGTATAGCTTGTTTCTTAGAAGCTGAAAATTTAGTGTAGTGTGACTGCAGAACTGTGGGGTCGGAGCCGGGATCAGTCGGAGTTGACAGTTTTGGCCAGAGTCGGAGTTGAAGTCTTCGAAATTGTTCAGATTTTGACTCCGAGGTCGGATTGGTTTAAAGTCATGCTCTTGGCTGGTTAGACGAAATATATTATGCCCGTTTTCGGCCAGTCGTGTTATACGACACACGTTGATCACGATATCAAAAATCGGCAGTTCCGCGATGACAGGTCGGATAAGAGCTGGAGATTTTGTTGGCCGAGGTGGCAGGGGTCAGACCAATGCATGTAGGCCCATACCCCACATGCTGAGTATCTAAACCTCCTGGACCCTCTCAGATTCGGCACCGTTCCATCGCTTCCATCCTCAGGACAGTCAAATCCTTCTCCTCCACGCCGCGATCCCCTGCTCCGGGCTGGACGGGCAACTCTATCCCATGCGAGAATGACTCCACTGGAGCTAGAGTCCGTTGCCGGGTGCAGTGAGTGCCAGTGGGCTGGGCTGCCTGTTCAATTGGTCGCAGGTCGAGTTCAGCCCAAGTGGCTAACTGGGGTGGCTGCCCAGACCAATTCCTCCCACTAATTCTTTCATCCTTCCGGCTCTGAAATGGTCTCATTGGACCGAAGGGCCTAATCAAATTTCGAGTAGGAAAACAACCAGTAAAACTCCTTTTGGGGCGACCAACGGAGCGAGCAAGGGGGTGGGCCTTGCACGTACGAAATTGCGAAGGGGTACCTCCAACCAACTTGTGCACTGCACCCTACTAACCGGTTTCTAACGATGTGCCAAATTTGAGCGCAATCGGCCTAGCCGTTCTCGAGATCTGTAAGCGGCACCCTGCACGTGCGCACGTGCAAAATGGGTCCCAACTGACTTTTGCACGGCACCCTAATAACCGGTCCCTAACCATGTGTCAACTTTCAGCACAATCGTGCAGCCGTTCTCGAGATCTGGAATCGACCCCTGCACGTGCGCGCGTGCAGCAGCACCCCAACTGTGGCACATGGTCATGGATATGCATTGCCTGGTGGGTGCCTACATACCTACATGCCAGCTTTCAGCGCAATCGGCCCAGTATGTTACCGAGATACCTATTGCAATTGTTACAAAACTGACACCTCTTCGTTTTTCACGTAGCGGGTGCATAATGGGTCACCCACATGCATCGAGAATAGTTCAATGCTTGTTAGAAGGAATGAAGCTACCCTACAAAAATTACCGCATGTAAATCAGTCAAGTGGTTCCTGAGACATAAGTCTCGCAAAAGCGTGACCACGGCCGGCCGGCCGCTCATGCTCAGAAATTTCCCGAAAGACTACGCTCGCTTCGCTCGCTCCGTAATGAGTTTGGGGGGGACGTCCCCCTTCCATTCTGAGAGTGGGGGGACGCGTCCCCCCCGTCCCCCCCGGTGGCGGCGCCCATGGTCAAACGATAATGACGTAATAAAACCATATTACCAAAACGTGAGCTGTGAATTTCGTTTGTCTTTTTTTGGGAGTCTCTCTCATAACAAAAGCACAGCATGGCACCACACCACACGTGGCACGATGACAAAAGTAGGTAATCTGAAGAAGTTGTTGCTATTTTTGAACTTGTAATTTTATTAGGAAAGTATTAGAGGTTGGTTGCTATTCTTACTAAATCGAAATTGTGTTGCACATACTAATTAGGTACTAATAGCTCATACGAACATTCTGGATTGGGATTTCATACCTGGCAGAAGTGGATTGCTGGATTATTTTTAACAAAACTGACCTATTTGGCTTCCAGGTTTGATTTCCTAACATCTGTCCATAGGCGGCAGAACAGGGGGGGGGTGGCACCAGGGTACAGTGCCCCCCATAGATTTCGGCATTTTAACATTAGCCCTACTGGCGTTGCATGGAAAGAATGGGACCAAAATGAAAATCTGCAGTGCCCTGCTGCCACTGCATCTGTCTGTACTGTTTGTTCATTGAATTTAAGTGGCTGTAGCTTGTTGATAAGATTGTCATCAGTGCTGTCATGAAAAAGTTACAATTGGTCACAAAAAGTAGCAATATGCATGTTCTTGGTTTATTTTAAATGTAGTACAAATGTTGTTTATTTAAATTCAAATTTAATGATGATACCTAATGATTACAAGTGGTCTTAACCAATAACCATGTCCACAAGTGATAATTCTCAATTGTATTGCACTGTAAGGTGTACAATATGTAGGATAAGGGTTTCATTGGCTACATGTTGTCGTGAGATCCATACAGATCATAGGTCCTCCACAAATTTTTGCCCGCTGGATCCACAGAGATCATAGATCCGACCCCTAAATTTTGTCGAGAGATCCATTCGGATCATAGATCCAACCCTTGAATTTTGTCAAGAGATCCACTCGGATCATAGATCCAACCCCTCTATTTTGTCGAGAGACCCACTGAGATCATAGATCCAGCTCTCGGATCCAAGCACATGTCTGGTTTTGAGTAAAGCCCCGGTCACAAATCTGACGCACCTGTGACATTCCTCATGTGAAAATTATTTTAAGAATATTGCGTACAAGGAAAATATTCCTAACGATTTTATCCGTAAGGATACGATATATCCTTACGATTTTTTTTATAATTATCAAAATAAAAACTTCAAACCCTTTGAGTGTTTTATATGCAAAGAAATGCGCAATATTGTGTGAAGAACATGGAATCGTGATTTATAATCATTTATCCGCCGTCTCGCTCCCGAGGAAAAGGCTGGCGCGTGTTCAGGGAATGTATTCGTCGGTGAACATAAGGTCGGTGAACATAAGCGACCATTTCACACAGCCAGCCTTTGTGAGGTGGCACGCCCAAGATAT